TAACTAGATTAGAAGAATCTGTCTTGTAAAATATCTGAAAAAATAGAATACAGAAAACTAATAGAGAGCTACAGTAGGAACTAGGGTTATATGAATATCTACAAGAGTCTAAACTAGATGAATCTATAAAATAAGTATAGACTACTCTAGTAGATATGCTTTAAAGTTAACTAGCTTTGTGATACTTATAATATATTAGGTACAATGTATTCTGAGAAGACCTAAGCTATTCTGAATAAATAAATTTATAATGAGTTAGCTAGCTTAAGCAGTTAAGTGTAGTAGTAATATTAGGTTAGATCTGTATAAGTTAATGAACAAAGTGTTTAAATAGATAACTCACAGACAGTTACAGATATAGTAGCATAGTATAGAATCAATCAAGTAGTTTAATCGTTTATACAGTAGACTACTTAAAATAGACAATAACTAAAGTTGTACATATAGCTTGTTGTATACTCTTCATGTAATTACAAATAGTAGAGACTATCAATATATATCCCATATGCAATTCTAATAAAATTCTTTTTGCAATGTAAGCCACCTAAAAAAAAAAAAAATAAAAAAAAATAAAAGCACTAATAATCCATAAACAGTTTGTAGCCTACTCTTCAACTATAAAATATATTTTATTGAACTTTTGATTTTTCCAGTCTCACTCATATATATTATATTAAAAAATAGAGTATTATTATATGTATAAAAGTTTTTTCTTTTTATTGTTATTTTGGTTTTAAGAATCATCAGAAAGAGTTGTAAATATTCATCATTTATCATCTGATTTCTTTTTTGCATAGACTTTGTTTTGATTTTTATCTATAGTTATTATTAACTAGTTCTTTTTTTTTATTTTTTTCTGTTTACATTTAAAACTATAAGCTTAGATTTCTTGCTATTAATCTCAATATTATTTATCTTATAGAACTTATAAGAAATATTAATAATATATTGCAGTTTTTTTTTAGACTTTGCAATTCAAATTATATTGTTTGCTTATACTAGAACTGCTTGTTGATTGAATAATTCTTTTATTAGATTATATGCAATATTTGTAAACTATTTTATTACTATTTTGTATCTAAGATTTTTAGTTTTTTAATCTGTATATAGCAGCAGGTTATAGAAAATATGCTAGACTAAAGATATGATTACTTTATCTTAATTGAAGCTATCTTTAGCTTTAAATTTTTCTGTAAAGCTGAAGCTTGTTATAATTTTAATTTTTTTTTTAAAATAGGCTTATAATAAATCTTGTTATATTTTTAGACAATTTAATTCTTTTTAATAAATTTTTCAGTATTTCTAAGCTTACTGAATTAAATGCTTTATGTATATCTTAAAAAAGAATCTAAAGTTCATTATTTTTTGTCTTGTATCTTCTAGTATATTGTTTATTATATGTACTAGACTTGTTATACTATTATCTAAGAGGCTTGCAAAGTTTGGTTCTTCAAGTATATTATACTTAACTATAATTTTGTCTAGTCTTTGTATTATTACTCTTATTACAGTTTTGTAAAAAATTTTAATTAGGACTATTGAGTATATATTAGATAGATCAAAATTTTACTTTTTTCCTTTAGAGATTAGATATAGCTGGTTTAGTTTTATTTAATTAGAATTTCTCTTTTGTAAATATATAAATTTGCTAAGTGTTTAAAGATTTTTTGTACTATAGATCTTACTTTTTAATTAATGAGTAGCTTATATTTGATAGTTTTGGTACTAATTTAGATTTAGTCTTTTTGAGTAATTTTACCTATTCTTCCTCAGATATTTTACTCTTTAAACTAATGTATATTGTAGCATTTACTTTTTTTAAAGAATTATAAGCCTCTTCCTATCTCTTAAATAGAAATAGATTTGTACTTTAAGTATTTTATTTTCTGAACTGCTTCTAAAAGTAGTCTCTTATTTCATCTAAGATCTTATTTTTTTAATTGAGTAGAATTATATTTAAGTTATCTTTTTTATGACTCTGTCTATAATTACTTATCTAGAAGACCTTTTAAGAAGACTGCTTATAATATATTTTAGTTTTCTTTATATTACTTCATAATATTGTTCTACTACTATATTTATCTTCTCTAGATTTTCTTTTTTCTTTGCTTGCTATACTTTTACATACATGATCTCTATTAGATCTTTAATTCTTCAAGTTTCTTCTTTGACTATTTCAGAAAGTTCTTCTATTTTAGTTTCATATATTTTATTAAGATTAGTTATTTGTAAATTAATATTAGTTCTGTATAGGTTTTTAATTTGTTGACCAATTTTTGTTATATATTATTAGCATATATTTCTAATTTTTTTAAGATTTTTTTTGATACAATCACTGATACTCTTTTTCTTTTTTATATTAGTTCACTAAAGTATAACTTTTTTATCTAATAATATTGTTTTAATATATTTGATAATACTAAATAATATTAAATCTCAAAGCTTATCTTTGTTTAATGCTTCTAAGCTATTTGAAATATGTCTTTTTCCTTATTTTCTATATTCTAATTTCTCTTTGAGTATATTTCTAACTTTGCTTTGTAGTTTTTTTTAATTTTTTTTAATAGTTTTATTTAGATTAAATATCTATTTTTTATCTTTTAGTCTTTTATCGCAAGTTAAAATTCTTAACTTTTTCTTTATACTTGTTATTATCTTTGTATTTATAATAGTATAATTACTATTGATGATTGTATTTGACTTAGTTATATTATAATATATTAAACTCTGTTCTAGATCCTTTAAGACCTATATATAATCAATTCTAGAATTAACTTATTTATTTAACCTAGTAAATTTCTTTTATATAGATATAGTTTTCTAAATATATTTACTATATTTGAATTACTAAGCTAATTAAAAAGAAATAATTTCTGAGTTTACCTAGAGTTTTTTCTATTTTAATCTAAAATATTATATTTTATATTATTAAAATCTCCTAGTATTATAATCTTTATTACTTTTTTTTGACAATTATAAATTCTTTTTATAACTTGCTATTGTATATTTCTTTTAGCTTTCTAATTATTATATAGTATATTTACTACTACTCTTTGAAGTTTTTAAAGATAAATAAAGCTTCTATATAGTATATATTATTTTGTTTTACTTGGCTTAGATATTTTTTTTATTTTCTATTTATAATCAGACTGATTCTAGAACCTTTCTTTTTATTCTCTTCTGTATCTGTTTAGATTTCTAAAAATTCTTTTTATTTTGTTTCTACTAAATTTATTGTATTTTTCTATTGTATTTGTTTTGTTAACTCTTATCATATCTATTTTTTTTTAGTTTGTCTATTCTAAGAGCATTTCTAGTTTAACAAAATTATTTTTAATTCTATTAATAATATATATAGCTATATTTAATATTTAATTATCTTTTACTATACTTTCTCTGCTTATCTTTGTTTTTATTTCTTTTCTTACTTTCCTCGCTATCTATATATAGTTAGCTCTACTGTCTATTATTATTAGATCAACTAGTGTATTTATTAGAAGCAGTTAGAAGCTTTCTACTTTATATACTAAATTTTCTCTTTAAGATATCTTATAAGCTATAACATGTAATCTAGAGAGTTTTTATAGTTTGAACTTTACTTTTGAGATAAGATTGTATTACTAGAAGCTTTGTTAAAAAATTCTCTTCTTTTTTCTTCTTTAATTTCTTTGCTTTTCTTTTTTAAGTATGCATTCTTCTATTGATTTTCTTTAGCTAGGTACTCTTTATCAGATGCTTTGTTTTCACTTAATTCTATTTCTGAAAAGCTAGTTCTTTAAATATCTCTATCAAGTTTAGATTTGTACTTTCTATTATATAATATTTTCTTTTTTTTTTCTGATTTCTGTTACTATATTTTTTGAGATCTTGTTTTTTTTATTTGTTTAGCATAATTTAGTATTATAATAAAATATTATAAATTTTGTACTGTTTATATAGTCTTTTTTATTTTTGAAATTTATTATAACATTTCTTTTGTTGTTATTATTAGAGTTCTTAAATATATGTGGTGTTTTAGCTTCTGTTCATTTAACTTGTCTCTACAGCAGTATTTTATTTGTTTTTTCTAATAGGTTGAATAGCTTTCTATTATATATATTGCATGTTTTTAACTCTTTGAAGTTGTATTTTCCTATTATAATTCTAACTAAATAGTTCTTTATAAATAGCAAGCACTATATCTCTATAAGCTTACTTATATTTGAAGTATTTAGAAGAAAGTATATCTCTGTTCTTGTTTTGCTGAGAGGTTCTTTGATTATCTTAATATATGCTACTTTTTCAAAGTAGTATACTAACTCAAAACTTGAAATCTACTTGCTTATGCTAATAGATCTCAAATTAGAAATACTTTAAAATCAATAGACTTAGTAATCATCACATCATATGAAAGCATTCAATTATATCATTTGTTTACTAGTACTAACAAATCAGCCTAAGCTATACTATTATCTAACTCTAAAACTAACTTTAATTTAAACTAAGTATTTAATCATATGAAGTAGTTATTATAAATATATTACTAGATCTACTAATTTTAAAATTTCTCTCAGATTATTATATAGTTTTTGTTTGTTTCTAGCTTTGAATTATAAGTATGCTATTTAGATATTGCATAATTTTTTGAAACAAGATTATTTTTTAGAAAAGCTTCTTAGAATATTTTTTTTTTTGCTTAAAGATTTCTTCAAGTTCTCTCTTTGCTTAACTTTCTCTCTCAATTCTGCTTTTTTTTTTTTTAAACTTCTAACTAGTTTCTCTTAGGTCTTTATATTTGAGTTTGTTTGAGGCAATAATAATATTACAGTATGGTTGTTTTTAACCAATGCCTCTTTTTGGATCGTTGCGCACTAAATTTATTGACCAAAAGTGCGACTTTACGAAAAGCTATAAATGAGCAATGAATTCAACTTTCTCTAACTAGAAAGAAACATCCTAAAAACCCAAAAGTTAAACAAAAATATTTCAATAAACCATTTTCACCTTAATCACATTCAATCATGAAGCAAAATTTCATTTTGGTATTCATTTTATTGGCTACGCTTTCAATAGTTAATGCTCAACTTCATAAAAGAGCCACTAAATTTAACCATGCCCTATACCTGTATCCCAATTCACTGTAACTCTTTCACCTGATCCTATTACTCCTGGGAATAATGTCAGTGTTACTCTTACTGGAAAACTAGACAAGGATGTACCCGTACTCGCAAATTCAACAGATATATTGGAGGTTACAATCCATGATTCAGGTGTTGTCCCATTTACTATAAAGTTATGTATTGCTACGGGAATTAAATGTCCAATTCCAAAAGGAACTGAAATTAATACAACAGTGTCAGTTCTAGTACCAGACGCAAAAGACCTATCTAACGAATACACAATTGAGGTTGTTGTTATTGATAATGAAAACAACTTTAAAGGTTGCTCGATTTCTGACCCTATTTCTTCATTGAAAGCTACATTTTTTGCTAAATCGGTTTAATATACACCTATTATATATTTACTATATTATTAAAATATTATAAAAATATAAATTTCTTAAATATATATTGCACACTGGATAATGAATAATATATTTACTTTTGATACAGTACCAGTAATTTGCACTTTGTAGGTTCCGATTCCGTTTCGATAACAATTAGCAGCACTAGATATTCTAGAAACATTACCCATATCAGCAGATTTTTTATAATAAATGAATGCTTTATATTCATCCGACTTGATATGTTCCATCAGCATCACCCATATCAGCAGATTTTTGATAATAAATAAATGCCTTATGTGCATCCTTTTCAGCTACGATCCCATGTTGATAATTGTCAACAAGCTACTGAAAATTGCTTTAAACCTGATACTAAGGTTATACTTGAGACTGGAGAAGCTGTCCCTATGTTTTCTATTGTTGTCGGGGATAAAGTTTGTGTAGGGTCAAAAAATGGAATATTTGAGTTTTCAGAAATTTATCTGATCTCTCATTGTGATCTTGAGGTTGAAACCGAATATCAGAAGATTGAATTCACCATGCCTACAGGTTTAACAGGTAAAACATCAACAAATAGATGTTGGTAAATGAAAACTTGTAAATCATGTTTTTTGAAATATTTTTACTTTTAATAAAAAATACAGTATCTTTAAAACCAAATACTTAAGATTTTAAGATTATTCGAACCATCTCATTAAGACGATTCAAATAATAGGGTAATTCAAATCTAATGCTTATGGTTTCTGATTTCAAATTAAATCAGTACGTAATTATTTTGAAATCAGTGATTCGTAAATTTTATTTATTTTAATTTGTAAGATTATTTATATAATAATAATTAATAGCTTTTGCTCTTTAGTGGTTTGTTTAAAAGTTCTTTTGGGAGGTATATTATTTTATGAAAGATTAATAATTCGAAAATAAATATGTAATATTACTTAAGAATTTTAAAAAAATTTAACCGATGATTTTGACGGCTTGTAATTCTTTATTAATTTTTTATGATTACATCATACATTAATAATATTTTATCAATTCATCACCTATTTCATTTTCTGATTTCAAAATTTCAAAATAGAAATAGGATGTTTTAAACCCCTATTTATTTTTGAAATAAGTTAACTTTGAATCATCTTAATATTAAAATTTAAGTATTTAATTAGTTGGTTTCAAGATATTTTTATTAAAAGTAAATATTTTAAAAAACATGATTTACAGGTTTTCACCCAAATATATATATATATAATATTTTATGAATTTTAATTGTTTAATTAAATAAATCCATCCTACTCAATCCCGATAACCACATATTAACAAATGTTTATTTCGATTATGCAAAGAACGTACAACCATATTCTACCCAGCTTAAAGTTTTAAGTGGTAATCATATGGTTCCTGTTCGTGTAGCAAGCGTTTGTACTGTGAGTTTTTTTTTCACTACCATAGTTATAATTTATTTTTGTTGATTTTTATTTATTACTATTTTCCTTTAAACAAAAAGGAAACTCATAATGGTTATATTGCACCATTCACAAGAACTGGTTATAGTAGCGGACAATGTAATTGTTCATGTTATGCCACTTGTGCACCATATCAAGAGACTATTCATGCAATGCTTACACCATTACGGTTTACGACATGGTTTAAGAAGTCTACACATAAAGGAAAAGAAATTCATCCATATCTCGGATTTCTATATAATAGATAGAAATATGTTAATCATATCTATGAAGGTTGTGAGAAATCTAAGGATTGGGTATTCAAGAGATGAACTTTTTAATTAGTTTTGAAAATTTTGTACTATTAACTTTTTTTTCATTTATTCATTACATAGTGGACTTTAATCGTCATTGGCTAATTGTTTCGAAACATGATTAGGTTATAAATTACATGGTTTTGAAATAGTCCAAATTGAATCTTTACGTTTTCTAAAATCAACATTTCAGCAAATTTGTGGTATTAGACTTTTTAATTTAAAATGAAATTACGAAAGTTTCTTCACAATACAGTATTTAAATTTACAATGTTAAAAACAATCTATTTTAGTTAAATTCGGGAAGTTAATAAAAGTCAAATTCAACAAATCTGCTGTGTTATTTTGAAGTATGTCAAAGGAATTCTCAGAAATTATATGGAGCAGCTCTATCATCAGAAAAATATGTAGAAATAAGTGTACACATTTTTAAAGATGAGAACTGGTGTATAATTAATATTTTTTTATTTTTAATTTATTAATGTTATGTTTAACAAGAGAAAGTATCCTAAGAGAAAATTATTGTAAAAAATATATTATGTTGAAGAAAGTTTAAAAAGAGAAAATATCTTGAATATCGATATTCAAAATTTAGATTTGATGGTGAACGTGAATTAAATTGAAATGAATGGGTCTAATCATTATTGTGAAGGAAGGGTAAACGCCTTCTTTCCATTTTCTAATGTATATTTAACGAAGATGCACTTAATGATAACGTAAACTTTTTTTTTTCTTTAAAAAAATTCAACAGTCAAGTTGTTGAGGTATTTATTTCTATATTATAGGAGTTTATAATCTTGAATTACTGTATTAATTGCCAGATAAAGTTTTTGCGATTTCTAAGATCGCTTTCTATGTGATTAAGCAGAATTAACTTTATTTAAATGCGATGAGTATAAAGTAAATTGTAAAAAAATGCTACTTAAATTTATAATCCTGTGTTAAATGCATAATAGCACGTTTTAATTATCAAAGTTTATTATTATTTTGTAATTACATTAAATAATTTCACATTTCGGACAACAAACGACAAACTAAAGAAAAAAAGAGAACAAAATAAATAATAAAATAGAGAGAATTGAATTTTATCATATAGTATACATTAAAACACTGTACACAAAATACTAAGCTAAATATTATTCAACATCAAATCCTTTAAGTTGCTATCTATAAAATAAAAGATTGAAAATATTTATTTAAAATTTTAAAAACATTATAAGCAAAAATTATTTAAAATAATTAATTACCTAGATAAAATGAAGTATAATAAGTAAATTTGGTTTTATAAAGTGTATCGTCATATGTTGGTTTATGTGTATTTTTATGTATTTTTTCTGATTCTGAAAGTTTTAATAAAATTTTTTCATCATTTTGCCATTCATTTAAAATTTCTTCAATTTCTACGGCAGATGGACGTGTTTTTCGATCTTTCTCCCAACATTTTTTCATTAAATTTAAGTAACATTTTGGAGCGTCATCATTGATTTCTGGCCGCAGATTATTATTACATATTAAAATTTGAAGTTGCGCATCAAATTTTTTATCACAATGCGCAGGTTTTCCATACAAAATTTCCCACATGATTATGCCAAATGAGTAAATATCGGAAGCCATAGTATATGCTTTACCGCTCAAAACTTCAGGATCTATATATGGTAATACTCCATAAACTTTATTAGACTCCATCTTTGATTCAATGTTAGCTGATATCGAAAGTCCTAAATCTGCAATATATGCATTATGCAACCTACTTTGTAAAATGTTACCACTATGTAAATCTCGATGGATAATATTTTTTGAATGGATGGTTTTAAGATCAAAAATAATGCAAAGTAAAAGCGTTAATTTATCTTTCCATCCCTTCTGTGCTACAGAATAAAGATTCTTACGCAAGGAACCCATTTTTGCATGTCTCATAACAAGTATATAGTCGTTTGAAACTTCATGTTTTGATATCCCATAACATTCTAAAAATGATGGGTTATCATATCCAATATCACAATATGCTTTCAGCTTTTTAACGATAATTACAATTAATAAACATAATTATTAAAAAGATAAATATCAAAAATTAAGTTACATACAATACCTCTTTTATAAACTCGTCATGGTATTTTTTGGATCTATGCAGTAATTTTAATGCAACGAATATGTGAACACCTTGATCTTTATTAAACCATATAGCTGAATATACAGTTGCAAATCCACCTTGTCCTATTTCTTTAATATTTCTAAATTCATTATAAGGAATCCATGATAATAAGTTTTTATTTTCAGATAATACCTTTTTTAAATTGGTATCGATATCAAAATTTTCATGTAACCATTTATTTGTAACTAAAAAAATCAAGGCTGTTAGATTCTGAATTACTCAATACACAATAAATAAATTCAAATCTTTGAATTACCTAATAATTTATTTCTTTCTCTAATTTTTATATTATAAATATATTTAAATATTGTAAATGTTATGAAATAAACAAGTAGATTTGAATAAAACAACATTTACCTTTGATACCAGTAATTTGCTCTTTGTAAATCTCTTGCCGTTCCAATTCCATTTCGATAAAAATAAGCAACATTAGATATTCCACTATAACTACCCATCTCGGCAGATTTTTGATAATAAATGAATGCTTTATGATCATCCTTTTCAACTCCAATTCCATTTTCATAACAATAACCAACATTATTATTTCCATAAGCATAGCCCATATCAGCAGATTTTTGATAATAAATGAATGCCTTATGTTCATCCTTTTCAACTCCAATTCCATTACGATAACA